GTGCATCCCATCAGGGCCCATGGATTTGTGGGTATCGAGTTTCCTTAGGTGCTCTCTGACCCAATCTTCCTCTACCCAGGGCGAGTCTTCCTCTCTCCAGGCTTCTTCTCTTGTCCCTAGGGCCTGGGGCTCTAAAGGGCTGCCCTTGGTAAACACCGAAGCAAAGAAGGCATTCAACAACTCTGCTTTTTCTGTGTTATTCGTAACCAGGGGGCCCATCTTGTTCGCCAGCTGACCCACATTTTCCCTGATCTTCCTTTTGCTGTTAATATATTTGAAGAAGTTTTTCTTGTTATTTTTAACGTCCCTTGCCAGATTGTGTTCCAACCGCACCTTAGCTTTCCGTGTCGCATCTCTGCATTCCCTGACTACGTTCCTGTATTTCTCCCAGGGGACCTGTCCTTTTTTCCACATTCTGTATACCGCCGCCTTCTGCTTGAGCATTGCCACAAGCTCCCGGCTCATCCATGCAGGTCTCCTGCCCCCCTCTGCCTCCCTTCCTACACACAGGGATGCACTGTTGCTCTCTTGGGCCCTCCTTCCTTCTAGAGAGATATTGAAGTGTCCACTAAGGCACACTTCCTCTACATCCACTTTTCTCTGGGCATGATGGGGAATTATTGTACTTTGAACTTTCTCAGACACTACAGGTAAAGCAAGGCAATGTCTAATTTTTCACAGAAACAGAGATTACCAAAGTGCTCAGTTAGTTGAACTCTTATGCAAGGGAATTATTTATATTAACCACACTTCCACTTTGCAGCTATTATGACCATTTTTATGTAAAAGACAAAGTCATTTTGTTGCAGTTCTCTTTTATGTAGTTATTCCATGGAGGGAGGGAGGGGGAAGCTTGTAAAGCAAACAAACAAACAAACAAACAAACTGCCCTCACAAACTACAGGTCTGTAGGCATTCCTCTCCAAAAGGTCGCATCTTTGCCAATACTGGAATACTCTTCTGCCTTTTCCCACTCAATGAGTAGCACAACAATGTCCACACAGATTTAATCCAAGAAATATATGCAGGAAAGGAATGAAAGGTAGGTTTGGAGTCTTTGTCCCTTCTAGTTTATATAACCATGCCAACCCAGAAAAAATAGTGTCTCTTTATCCAGATACACAGTTGCATCACATGCTATCAATGCACAAAAAATAATATATGAATTTTTCTACTCAGTGAATATCTCCATCCAAGAATCACAGAATCATTATGGTTGGAAAAGATCTTCATGATCACTGAAAACAACTGTACACCCTTCAACACCATGCCTGCTACACCATGTCTCTACATGCCTCATCTAAACGTTTCTTGAACACTGCCAAGGACAGTGACTCCACCACTTCCCCGGGCAGCCTGTTCCAATGCTTGACTGCTCTTTCAGTGTAGAAAGTCTTCCTAATGTCTAACCTGAACCTCCTCCGGGGCAACTTGAGGCCCTTTCCTCTTGTCCTATCAGCAGTTATTCTGGAGAAGAGATCAACCCCCTTCTCACTACAACCTCCTTTCAGGTAGTTGTAGAGAGCAATAAGGTCTCCCCTGAGTCTCCTCTTCTCCAGACTACATAACGCCAGCTCCCTCAGCCGCTCCTCATAAGGTCTGTGCTCCAGCCCCTTCACGAGCTTCGTTGTCCTTATTTGGACACGTTCCAGCGCCTCCATGTCCTTCTTGTAGTGAGGGGCCCAAAACTGAACATGTGAAATCATGATCCTGCAAAGAAGAAGCCGGTCAAGAAGTAGGATTGCAACCCTGGACTTCAAGAGAGCTACCTT